TTCGACCCCCAACACGTCTTACGCACTAATCCTCGGACTGCAGCGCCCATGGAATTCACTCTGAGCTCCGTCCTTAAACCCCGAGACAAAGAAGACAGTGTTTATGTAAATAAAATGGTTTGTGACGTATTAACGTGGATCAAAATGTGACATGATACACGACTGAGACGCTAAAACACAACTCATCAGAAAAGGTTTTACATGCAGATGTGCTGCAAAGCAAAAACCTGAAGCTTCGACAATGAAGAGATCCACTGACTCTGGGCAGAGACGGGTCGCCACAGATCAATACAGTTGTTCTGAGTGGACAAAGGCGCCAAAAAACACTTTTTAAACTGTGAAAATAACTGCAAACATCTGTCAAACATGAGTATTTTAGTGGATTTAAATGCAGAAAACAGTGTGACTTTACAGCAGGTAGTTATTTCTGATGTGAACATTGTTTACAGTTGAGGCCTTTATTTATTTATGTTTGTGTAGAAAACGTGCTGAATGTTAAAAACACACAAACTGTAGGTGTTGGAGGTCTGAGTGCTGCCAGCTGCTTTATGATGTGGAGTCGCTCTATGAACAGAACTTTGGTCGTTTCAGCTGCTGCTCGAGGCAGAATTTCAAACTGCAAAGGACAAAAATTCTCTCTTCTTCTTAATTTTTTTAAATGTAAAATCTTCAGTTATGATGCTTTGAAGACAGATTTCACATCAGCTTTGACTTTAGGATGCTTTTGGGAAACCAGAGACTTGATAGACAAGATTTCTGATGAGTGTAAACCTGCTCAGTGTTTATCAAATCCTCTGCTCTATTATGCAGAAGCTGTCTTTTATAAAAGAAAATTACCAACATTACACCATTTATCAGAAAGCCAGAAACTGTAAAACCCCCCAGAATGATCAGATTCAGACGGTTCATGAATGAATCACAGCCGACGTGTGACAAATTGCAAAAACGCCACCAAAGACACAAAAATAAACCATTTTAAAAAGCCAAATCCTGCAAAAAACAAAAAACTCTGAGCGTATCGGTGCAACTGAGAGGCCATATTTGACCCCGTGGTTGAACTGCAGGCAGTGTGAGAAACTGAGGGCAAAATACGTGAAATAAATGCACCATGGCTCCCAAATGTTGAGCACTAAGAGGAGCAGGTTGTTGGCAAACATATAAACACAAGTGAGGGGAAGTGCTTTAGGTTTGGAGGGCGATATTTATTGAAACATAATCTTAGTAATCTTCTAATTCTGCGGATTGAGTCCCATCTGTCCGCTAAACCTCACCGAAACCAGCGGAGGTGGTTTAAAGATGCTCCAGTGGAGGAAAACAAGCTCCCAGCAGGGGTAATTATGATTCTGGTTCTGCCCCAACAGGGAGTGTTTCACGCTCACATCGATCCAGCTTCCTCACAGGAAGGTAACATTATTTATCAGGGCGTGAGCTGGTTACCGTTCTGCTCGTATCCAAGCCTCATGTTTGTTATCAAATTACAGATCGGCGCAGACGAACCTCAGAGCCTCTGGTGATAAGACTCAGGGAGGAATGTAAAGAGGAATGCAGTTAATCACAGAGCAGCTCGTCTGGCCACATATTGAGCATAGCGTCGTCAACACCCAAATATGCTGCTTCCTGGTGTTTTTGTGTTGTTTTGTTGTTGCCCTCATCGTGCAGACACGAGTTCAGTCTATCGCTGCTATTGTTGTCGTAAACAGGAGACAAACGACAAGCTCGGATGAAGTTACGGTCGAGGAATGCGTTTTGTCAAAGAATAAGACGGTGTTTAAACACAGCCTGCAGTTCAGCCCAATGACAGAGTTTGTCGACTGCTTGCAGCTGAAGCAGTCGTCAGCTGTTCAGCCACACAATCTGGTTTTCACAAATGTTTAAATAAGATATGTAGAAGTTATTTTAAACTCAGATTAGGTTAATTTCTTGGTTAATTTTGGCTTTAATATACTCTGTACATCACCTCTAGAACAATGTCTCACCATGCTGAATGTATCTTGCTGCTGTGTTCACTGTTTCTGAGCCGTGCTGCTTTTATTTTATTGATCCAACATGTTTAATTTTCTTGTCGTCTCCTGCAGTTCATCCGAAAAGTTGCTGGAATTTCTTCACACGACTGTTGGTCACAGCGGCGTCAAACATATCTTAGCAGTTGTCGCTATTAACTCAACATGTTTTGTGTTTTACAGAATATAGTAAAAGTAAACTGTTTATTTCTGGTTTTAAAATGAAGCATGTAGAAAAACCTGATTTTGTTGAAATGTCACAATTTTAAGCCTCGATTCGGTTCATCTTCCTGACTGAACTCTACGTCACACACGATTATTTCAAACGACATTTGGCATTTATCTACAGTTGCTGGCTGATAAATGGTGTAATCTTGGTGCCTTTTTAAACAGAGCGATGGGTTTCAGGGTTCAGACGGTTAATCACAGACACCTGAAGCCTCTCAGTGAACATAAGAACATAAATGATTTACAATAAAACCACAAGTATAACTGCTGCTGAAGAAAATGAGAGACGCACGACATGACAGCACATCAGCAACAGCCTCCACAGTCCTGCTTCAGTCTGTGGTGAGGTGAAGGTAATGTTCTGATTAGCAATGCAAAAGCCTCGCAGGTGACGTGGACAAACCGTCATTTAACTATGACTGCAGTCGCTCTCTACCCTGCACCTAATCGTTCAAGAATGAAGCATGAAACCTTCATAACTACACACTCTTTATGTGGATGTTTTTAGCATTTAGCTCCAAAAAGTGTATCTGGACACAAACAGTCACTAAAAGGGTATTGTTGTTGTCTTGTTTGGGTTGGAGGACCTGTCCAGCTGTAATGTTGTATCCTGGTCAGGCTCACAGTCAGTGTCAGTGGCTGACGTCATGTGATTCAAAAAACAAGTTAAGAAACTACAGCATGTCTATATGTTGGTGGCTTTGTCCACAGAGGATTGACTGTGTTGAAACAGGAGCATTAAGACGCTTAAGTGGAAGGTAAGAGGCAAAGACCAATCCAGGTTCCATAATTCCTGATGGTAGTCGTTTTTCTCAGCACCAGCAGTCATCGCTAGTGGAGATGCTGGACAACAACAACAAGTGCAACAAATGCAGCAGCAGGTCCACGATGGACGAGTTATAGACGAGTTATTGACGACAGAAAACAGCTCGAGAGGGTTTCAGCTGGTTCTTTACATGAACAACATGTTGTCACAGCGTTCACGTCTTGAAATGTTCACGTTACTGCTGGTCAACGGCTGCTTATGTTGATTAACG